ATTTGATGATCATTTTGAATATAAACATCATATATTTTGCATTAGACATAAAATTTTTAGATATAATGTTTACTCTGAGTAAGTATGTTATCTTTTGTGCAAATATATGACGTTTATATTCAAAATATTCCTGGTCTTACAAGGAATCCAGCAATGTCAATTATATTATCCTAACTTTAATCTGAGGTATTATTTAATACAAAATGTTAAAATTTATTTTTTTCACCCACTCTTTCTCCTGGTGGGGGGTGGGGGGGAGGGTTGGGACTGACCGCGCGGTTGGAAGAGGGGGGGAGGCAAGGTGGTGTACTTTGATTGACAGATAGTGTCGTGAAGAATATTTTTTTTTATTAACTGAAGATATTTGTTTTAGCTCATAAAATTCATACAAATTACCCGGCCAGAATTTAATTTACATTGCTGGAATTCTTACAATTTGATGATCATTTTGAATATAAACATCATAGATTTTGTATTAGACATACAAATTTTAGATATAATGTTTACTCTGAGTAAATATGTTATCTTTTGTGCAAAATATATGACATTTGTATTCAAAATATTCCTGGTCTTACAAGGAATCCAGCAATGTCAATTATATTATCCTAACTTTAGTTTGAGGTATTATTTATTACTATACCTGGTTTTCCCCCCAAAATTTCTCAGAGAGGGAAGAACCAGGAGTGTAGTGTGAGAAGAGCGGGAGGGAGTTGAGTCCATTATTTGAATGGACATTAACTTGGCGACTGTATTTCTCTATTTCTCTTAAGTATTAATTGTGTGCATGTACCATCATAAAATTAAGATGTTATTTTTACTAGAACATAGGTATTGTGTTGGAAAAAGTGGAGATTGGGGGTCAGCTGGTCTCTATTTCATTTAATCCCATATGTTATGTTATCCACTTTACGCGTTTCTCACTTTCCGCGGTACCCTGTGGGTTACATTAACCGCGTAAAGTGAGGGTTGACTGTACCTTCATTTAATAAACAAAGAAATATTCTTCAAGGACACTATCTGTCAATCAAAATACTCTGCCCTAGCTGGATCGGTCCCTCCCTCCCTACCACAGAAGCTTTGGGAGAAAATAGTAATTTACATTTTTAGTAATAAATAATAACTCAGACTAAAGTTAGGATAATATAATTGACATTTCTGGATTCCTTGCAAGTCAGGGAATATTTTGAATGTAAACTTCATATATTTTGCACAAAAGATAAAATACTTGCTTTGTGTAAACCAAATTATTACATTAGATCTAAAATTTGTATGTCTAATGCAAAATCCATGATGTTTATATTCAAAATGATCATCATATTGTAAGAATTCCAGCAATGTAAATTATATTCTGGCCGGGTAATTTATTTGAATTTTATGAGCTAAAACATATATCTTCAGTAAATAAACAAAGAAATATTCTTCAAGGGCACTATCTGTCAATCAAAATACTGCGCCCTAGCTGGGTCGGTCCCTCCCTCCCTACCAGAGAAGCGATTGGGTGAAAATAGTATATTTACATTTTTAGTAATAAATAATAACTCAAGCTAAAGTTAGGATAATATAATTGACATTTCTGGATTCCTTGCAGGTCAGGGAATATTTTGAATGTAAACTTCATATATTCTGCTCAAAGGATAAAATATTTGCTTTGTGTAAACCAAATTATTATATTAGATCTAAAATTTGTATGTCTAATGCAAAATCCATGATGTTTATATTCAAAATGATCTTCATATTGTAAGAATTCCAGCAATGTAAATTATATTCTGGCCGGGTAATTTGTATGAATTTTATGAGCTAAATAAAAAAAAAAAAACATTATACTTCACCGCGTATAGGAGTAGATGCACCGCGGAAAGTGAAAGTCTGGTTCTGGCAAGGTACCGTGTAAATGAGAAATCGCGGAAAGTGAAACCGTGTAAAGCGGGGTAATACTGTATATACAGTAGTACCCTGATTTACGTGGTCAATTGAACTCACAGGGTACCGCGTTAAGTGAAATCCGCGTAAATGGAACAACAGAACATATGGGATTAATTCCAATAGAGACTGGCCCGACCCCCAAACTCTACTTTTTCCGACACAATACCTATGTTCTCGTAAAAATAACATCTTAATTTTATGATGGTACATGCACACAATTAATACTTAAGAGAAATAGAGAAATACAGTCGCCAAGTTAATGTCCATTCAAATAATGGACTCAACTCCCTCCCCCTCTTCTCACACTACACTGCTGGCTCTTCCCTCTTTGAGAAATTTTGGGGGGAAAACCACTAGATTTTAATAAATAATACCTCAAACTAAAGTTAGGATAATATAATTGACATTGCTGGATTCCTTGTAAGACCAGGAATATTTTGAATATAAATGTCATATATTTTGCACAAAAGATAACATATTTACTCGGAGTAAACATTATATCTAAAATTTGTATGTCTAATGCAAAATCTATGATGTTTATATTCAAAATGATCATCAAATTGTAAGAATTCCAGCAATGTAAATTATATTCTGGCCGGATAATTTGTATGATTTTTATGAGCGAAAACAAATATCTTCAGTTAATAAAAAAAAAATATATTCTTCACACCGTGGCAGATGGTCGGTCGGTCCCTCCCTCCTCCCACCCCCCACCAATCCTCCCTACCAGATGTGTGGGAAATCCAGAATATTTACCTTTTTAGTAATAAATAATACCTCAAACTAAAGTTAGGATAATATAATTGACATTGCTGGATTCCTTGTAAGACCAGGAATATTTTGAATATAAATGTCATATATTTTGCACAAAAGATAACATATTTACTCAGAGTAAACATTATATCTAAAATTTGTATGTCTAATGCAAAATATATGATGTTTATATTTAAAATGATCATCAAATTGTAAGAATTCCAGCAATGTAAATTATATTCTGGCCGGGTAATTTGTATGAATTTTATGAGCTAAAACAAATATCTTCAGTTAATAAAAAAAAAAATATTCTTCACGACACTATCTGTCAATCAAAGTACCCCACCTTGCCTCCCCCCACTTCCAACCGCGCGGTCAGTCCCAACCCTCCCCCCACCCCCCACCAATCCTCCCTTCAAGAGAAAGGTTGGGTGAAAAAACTAAATTTTAACATTTTGTATTAAATAATACCTCAGATTAAAGTTAGGATAATATAATTGACATTGCTGGATTCCTTGTAAGACCAGGAATATTTTGAATATAAATGTCATATATTTTGCACAAAAGAGAACATATTTACTCAGAGTAAACATTTTATCTAAAATTTGTATGTCTAATGCAAAATCTATGATGTTTATATTCAAAATGATCATCATATTAAGAATTCCAGCAATGTAAATTATATTCTGGCAGTAATTTGTATGAATTTGCGCAGGCTTAATAAAAATAAAAAATATTATACTTCACGTATGTGAGTAGATGAACGCGTTAGAGGGCGAGATTCGGTTCAGCGAGCACGCGTATATAGAAATCCGTTAAGTGAAACCCGTAAAGTAGAGGTAATACTGTATATATATATATATATATTGATAAAATCACACAGGGAAAAGGGAAACAATGGAGCACCTTAGCTTTCGTCTTCATTCAAGACATCTTCAGAGGCAACAGTTGCCTCTGAAGAGGTCTTGAATAAAGACGAAAGCTAAGGTGCTCCATTGTTTCCCTTTTCCCTGTGTGATTTTATCAAGATTTATCTTACCCACGTTTTCATTGTGGATCTACATGATATATATATATATATATATATATATATATATATATATATATATATATATATATATATATATATATATATATATATATATATATATATATATACAGTCAAGCCCTCACTCTCTGCCGGTTAAGCCTGGCTTACAGGGGTACTGCGAGGAAAGTGAGAAAGCAGCAAAGTGAATAACATAACATATGGGATTAATTGAAATAGAGACCGGGCAGACCCCCAAACTCCACTTTTTGACGACACACAACTATGTTGTAGTAAAAATATTATCTTAACTTTATGATGGTATGCACATACAATTAATAATTAAGAGAAATATCAATAATATTAGGTTTTTTAACACTTGCATTAGTAGAAAAGATGGCTGGGCACACGGGGATCGGCGGTTGGTTCCGAGGCAGAGGGCAGATTATTGGCCCTCACCTGTGTCACTTGTATCAATTGTATCACTATCCACCACAGAGGCTTGCAGGGCCTCTTTGTCAAACCCCCCAAAGTCCATATAAGTCCATATCCTCACTATAATTATCACTATCACTGACTTGGGCCGGCTGTGGTGGGTGGCGGGTGAAGAACTGTTAATGTTTTGATGACTGGGTGACCTTGTGCGCACCATGTTCGCGCCGCTTACAGAACATGGCGGATGGCGGGAGGTTTGGATCCAAAAATGGCGCGGCTCGCCAGCCGCTCTCCGCGTAATGGGGTACACGCACCGCGGAATGTGAGCATGTTAGGTTCCGGCAGGGCACCGCTTAAACGTGGAAACGCGGAATGTGGGACCGCGTAAAGTGAGGGTTGACTGTATATATAATGTGTGGTTGTTTTGTTTTATTAGATGATTTTTGTTGTTGGATTTGATTTGAAGTAATGTTAGGCCTGGAATGCTTCCCCCTTAAACACATTAATAAGTGACTTTCTTTATGTGAACTTGCACACTGTTTTATGGAACACAACTCTAGGATAAAGTGATGGCTGTCTGTGTATGATATATAGAATTGTGCAATATATATGTGGACAGGCTGTACTATAGTGTATAATACTGCCTACAGTAACTATTTTACATACTCTAAAATAACAGGAATATAAAGGAAAGCAAAGATTTTGACAGAAATAGGTAACAAAGTCTGATGTTGAGAATTATAGGAGTGATAGGGATGGTACACTTTTCTCTGCTAGGTAACTGTGTCAGTACTCTGACAAGTTCATGTGCAATTTGATCTCATTACCTCAGGCTTTGGCTTTGAGGGAAAATAAGGTAATAAGGTTTTTTCTCTCAATTTAGGATGGCCGGCGCATGGAGAAACAAATAAGAGAGAAGTTTGATTGTAGTGTGGCCAAAGTGTTACCAGCATTAAAGAGGGCACCACTCCTTAACCCTTACTTCACTACATCAGGTAAGTTTGGCATTCGTGAATACTGTACCAGAAAAATATATCTTTAATTTTTGGCTTCAAGCTGACATGGGAATTTCCATTGAGTTTCCACACTGGTACCATGTCAGTGTTGAGGATGGAGTCTAACACTTGATACTGTACTTGAGTGGACACAGCCATACATGTTGGTGCCTTTAACCTGCTACAGTACAGTTGTTGCCTCAGACACCCAGGAGCATACCTGAGTCTACCTAGGGTATGGTGCTCACCTGGTCACAATAACAAACTAAAGAAAACATTGTTGTATACTGTACAGTAGGGTGTGTCATAGGAGGGAAGATCAGCTAAAACTAATGGCCCATCACTTTTTTGGTAGATTTTAGTGTATATAAACAGAAAATAATTTCAGTTTCAATATTTTGCAACCTTTTGCTAGGTAAATTTTAGCGTGAAATTTATCGAAAATCTAACGTACAGCTGCATTAGTGCATTACAATTAAATAGTGAACATTGCTTTCTGACTTCATTCTTTACCAACCCAACTAACAATATTTTTTTCTGTTTCAGATTTTGATGCATTTATGCTGGATAAGAGCTTCTATGGCGGCTGCTTGTGTCAGGACGAGAACCAAAAAAATCCAGCCATTCAGCCCATTATCTTGGGGCCTGTAGAGCTCCTCTAAAGCTCGGAGCGCCTACATTGAGAGATGCTTTTGAGACACGTGTGTTTTAATCAGCAAAATCAGTAAGAAACTAAAAGAACTTACACAAACAAAGACATTGCCATATACCAAAGCTGTTCTACACAGTACACTCTGGCTAACGCTTCAGTTCAAGCTTCCAGTCATAACAAGTCAGAAGAAGATTAGTGAGAGACTGCTAGCCAGTTGGGAAAAGGCAAGAGATATCTCTCTTGGGAGAGGAAAACTTGCAGTTAAGGACAGCTTTGCCAAGCAACTGGACCAGTTATTTGACAAAATTACTTGCAAGTGCCCAATTGTTCTCTGTCCTGAGTTTGGATGCGATCGTGACTGTAAATCCGAGGCCCACATCTCCTGTATTTGCAAGCGTGAACTGAAGATTTCTGTGATCGAACTGGCATTTGTCAAAGCACAGAGAGAGAAGACTGGCAGTATAGGGGCTCTCATGATTTCTAGCCAAGATATTCCGGAGTCCAAGAGACAGGAGGCTGCCACAGAGAGGCAGAAGAGAAGAGTTGCCGAGGAAAAGAGACTTGAGAAGGCCCAGAGTGAGGTAAAAAAGGCCGATGATTGGAGTCAAGCTGATTCAGAGTTTAATGACTTCCCCATGGCTGATCCGAGTGCTGACCAGGAGAATGGTGACTTTGTCCCCAACCCAGAAAATAATGATCCCAAACCTTCCAGGCATAAGATTCGGAAATAGGAAAGATATCCCAGCAGCTCTGGCTGGATGCCCACACTGGTCTCTGTGGAGAAACTGCAGAGATAGCAACAGCTGCCTGATTGACGTGGTTTGATGCAACACTCCATGATGTTCACCGGTGACAGATCATAACAAAGTAAGGAGAGCTCAGGAGAAACTTGTCAGTAACCTAGAAGAGGAGTTTGATAAGGGGATAAGAGAAAATGGAATCAATTGTTTGTTCCTTGATGGGAGAAGGGATGACACTAAAGTGTTCATGAAAGTTGGAGATTCTGACAAGTTGTTCCCTGCCATGGTGAAGGAGGAACACTACTCCTGCTGGGAAGTATTTGTGGCATTTCACTCCAGAGAAAGATGACATCAGGAAACCAGCTGAGATAGTGGCAGATATCATTGTGAACTGGCTCAGAGAGAGGAACGTAGACCAGACCCTGCAGGCCATTGGAGGGGACAGCACCAACACGAACACAGGGTGGCAAGGGGGGGTCATACAGTGGATAGAGCGGAAGATTGGGAGGAAGCTGGTCTGGATTTTTTGTGACCTCCACACCAACGAGTTGCCACTCAGACATCTGATCCAGGAGCTGGATGGCAAGACTCGTTCAAACAACAGATGGTCTGGTCCTCTTGGCAAGATGCTGGACTCTGCCACTGAGTTAGAAATAAATCCGAGCTGGAAAAATCACAGTTGGCCCTCCACTGCTGAGCTTGCACATACTGTCATTGACTCCACCTGAGTACTGACCAGTACTATGGTTACATGATTTGCAGTGCCATCAAAACTGGGGTCATGCCTGATAGACTTGCTTACCTGCAGATAGGTATCCAGTCTCACATCTCTAGGTGGCTCACAACGGCTCTCAGGTTCTGGGTGAGAATTTGGGTCGCTCATCATAAACTGAAAGGGAACCAGCTTCACAAGCTGAGACTTATTGTCCAATTCATCGTGAGTGTCTACTTGCCAAATTGGTTCAACACCAAGGTCAAGTCATCGTTCTCCGAAGGTCCGAGGCATGTTCTCTTCCAGCTTGAGCTCCTGAGGAGTCAGCCAAGGAAGGTTGTTCAGATTGTGGAGCAGACTGTGAGGAGATCTTCCTGGTATGCTCATCCCGAGGCAGTTCTGCAGACAATGCCCTGCAGTAAGGATGAGGAGGAGAGAAGAGTGGCAGTCAAAGACCTGATATGAGACTTATGAGAGGATCTGGGCATGACTTAATCAGTTGGTGACGATTCCCTTCAGGTCAGGAAGACTCCTGAAGTCAATCTAGGTGCCAAGACCCTCACTGATCTCATAGATCTGATAACATCCAGGCTGGCAGTGAGCCCCCTCTTACCTGCAGCCTACCAATGTTCAAGTCAGAGCTTTCCTGACAACCCCATGCATGTCCCTGCCTGGCCCTCGCACACCCAGAGTATAGAGCGTTGTGTACAGCAAGTGAGCGAGGCCAGCAGTCACGTGTACAGCCAGGAGAGGAGGGAAGGCTACATCCGAGCTCAGGTGGTCAGCAGGGAGGTGATGAGTAGAAACAGAAGCAAGAAAGACATGTTCTCTATGGTGTGTAGCAACACCGGGTCGTAGTAGTAAAACCGGTTTTTGTATTTGATGATTTTGTTTTCTAAAGGAATATTAAATTTAATAAATGTGTCAAGATCATTCGTTTCACTATTCTGGATCATTTTCATCCTAATAAATTAACCTGATACATTTACTTTACTTTAAATAAGCTATTTAGTGGTGTTGGTAAAAGGGTGGGAATACTGAATTTTCATAAGATTTCAAGTTAAAATTTACCTAGCAAAAAATGAAAACTTTTCAAATCTGAAGATATCACATGATTCTGCACATAGAACTACATCATTAATACCATGGGCCGATTTTTCAAACTCAAAAAAAAAAAATTCGCCTCCGTATGACACACCCTACTGTACAGTACAGTACTGTAAACACCAAATAATGACTGATATTCCATAAACACTGACAAACGAGCATAAGTCATAGGCCAGTGTTTGTGGACAAATTACCCATTACTGTAGGTGATTACAGTGATCAGGTTAGGATAGGTTCGCTTAGTAATATTTTTAATTCAACATTTTCACCTCTGCTTCACAGTACTGTACAGGGTAGGAAGGGACATAACTAAAAAAATTTGGATATCCCCAAGCTTCCATTATCAACTCTGTACTGTATTCAGCCCAAGAAAAGAAACTACCGTATATCTCGGCCTATAAGGCGGCGGGGTGCATAAGACGGCCCCCCAAATTTCCATTTAAAAAGTAGCTTTTGAGCTTTATTCGCTGTATAAGACCGGTACCCCAAATGTGACACTTACCCACTGACCCAGTAGTCCTTTACCAACCATCCTTGGTTTTTTAAAATAAGGCCAATTCACTTCAAGTAATGTCATCAAATGTTACCCACTGGTGTAGTGTAAACACTAGTGACGTCACTTAACCGTCTGCTATTTACCGATAACTGGAACTAATGTCGGTGTCGAGTGAAATTTTTCCATTTATAGTCGACCCTTAACATATGCGGGTTTATAATACACGGATTTGCAAATACGCGGATTGCCCCGCCGGAGGAATGTTCTGTACATTGAAGTAATTGAAGTACATTCAAATCGCGCGCGGCACCGAACACGGGACACTGCCCGCTCCCGCAACCACACACACACACACACACACACACACACACGCATAGCTCTCCCTCACTCAGTCAGTCTCGCTGTAACCACGCTGTGTTGACATCAGCATTGTAGTTGCAAAAATATTACATTTCTGTGAATGTATTATATCAAGCACAGTATGAATAGAATATCACTAATATAAGAGTATTTTAACCGAAAACTACTAAAAAAACGAGTAACATATCTTGAACATCGGAAGGTTAGGTAAAGTCTCTTGTTTTCGTCATGTATTTTATCCTATTTTACATTGAAATACATCACGTTTCAGCAAAACTACTATTTATTTCTGAGAATATATTCATTCAGCACAGTTTAGGTAAAATATACATGTGCTGTAACATTTTTTTGATTGAAAACGATTCGAAAAACACGTACCCTCTAGCCCTGTTCAAGGAGAAGACTGGGAGGAGCTGTTTGGTGCTTAAGACGATGACAAGGAAAATGATTTTGATGGATTTTAGTGAAAATATTCAGAAAGACCCTGGCACTGTCAAGGAAAGTGGCTGCTGAAGGCTTCCAGGTCATGGCAGAGGACGAGATTAGGGAGCTAATTGAAGAGCACGACACTGAGCTGACCGAGGAGGATCTACAGGAGTTAATAGACTCAGGCACGGAAGAGGAAGAGGAAGCGAAAGAGGATGAGGAAGAGCACCAAGAAATAACGTTGGAGAAATTGGGGGAGATGACCAGGAATATTGAGGCACTGAAAAACCTGGCCTATAGTATGGACCCCTCCATGGTGCGTGCCCTGAAATTCATGCGAGGGATGGATGACGTTTTCGCTCCATACAAAAACATCATGGAAGAAATGAATGAAAGAGACAACAACTCCCCATCACCATGTTCTTTGATCACCGAAGGAGAGATTTAACACCATCAATCACTGGCGGCAGTGAGGAAGCAGCTGAATCCACCGTCGCCCCGTCGCCC